TCTTTATTACGCCGTCTCCTTTACAGGAGGTTGGCGACATTATGAACAGGATCCTTCCCTCCTTTTCTCGGCCTGGGACCTGTTCATATACGTTCTTGGCAGATGATCCAGAGGTGGTTTGCCATTGCCTTCTTCTGTGTGTGTGAATGGAGTAATTGTTGGGATGCCATGGAGGAAAACTCCGTGTTGCCTAGACCACGGCCTTGCCCAACACAAGTTATAAATTCGGGCACCGCCGGGAATCGAACCCGAGACCCCAGGATTACAAGGCCAGCGTTTTAACCGCTAGACCACCGTGGTGACGTTAAGTTATTCTGCAGAAAGGACTCGTAATACGCTGCATTCAGAGATTCACCATGTGAAACACAGTGATACAGAAGAACGCCCTGGACATCGTATGTTAAAATGACCATTAACTTACCAGGGAATGGATTTTGACGAAACACGTACTTTCTCTGCGACTCTGAATTTGGTCACTCAGCGGAAAACTTACGGCCGGATCTTGCGATATTTCGGGACAATAATGTTGCCATGACTTTTGAAGTAACCCTCGTATAATTGCTATTGCATTATTTTTGAAATAAAAATAACAGTGATATGAAATGAGACTGGATGCGGGAGAAGTTTAGGAAGAGGTAAGATCTGCTCCTTACGATAATTTATTTACATCGCCTCTGATCTTACCTGTAATGCAGTATAGTAACAAAATTGCAATTTCATACTTCGTTTAGGGTTACATTCATATGTGGGTCCACGCAGATAATAATACAAAGGAGTGGCATGCCACAGACCCAGACTGAAAGTGTCGAAGTGTAGTGTAGTGTTTTCCTTGCGGTACGAACTGAATTCTTAAATAATATTTAGACGATCTTCTGCTACTGATACGGGGAACATATTGAGGAAAAGAATTCGAAAACTTTACATTTCTTCAAATATCAACTTTGTTAAAGCTATTTTGCCATTTGTTAATTTGTTTTATATGTGCAGTAGAATTGCCTCAATAAAGTGTAAAGCACACCATGATTTTACTGAAAAGAAATTGTTACGTCATAGTTTTGGCCAACAATTTTATAGTTTATTGTTAATTATTGACTGGGGATTTCTTTTTGCAAAAGTGCGTCGTACACAAGAAACTTTTCTGCAATTGAAAACCTTTCCAAAAAAATAATCCAATATACACGTTTCGTTCGAATTTTTAAGATGTTTCGTTGTCATCGGTTGTTCTTGAGGAATAATCTGTGGTTATATCCACCAATTAACAGCACCTCAATCGCCTGCAATATTCGTATTTATCCCTGATATATATATATATATATATATATATATATATAT